CCCCTGCGAGCGGCGATGGAGCCGGGGAAGGTGGGTGCACACGGGCTCTGGGGAGTTCGCGGACCTTGGCTAGTTGGCCCAGTCTCCCCAGTGTCCAGGCACCCGGCGGCCCTGGGCTCGGGCCGGACTCCCGTGACCGCTTAGCCTCGGGGACTCGGATGGGCCGGGGTCGGTGTGCGGTTTACCGCCTCCTTTTACCCAGCGCTTAACGTGCACAGACTCCCCGACCTCTGTCTTCTGTCCTTTTCCCTCTCGTTTTCTTAAGTTATCCTGTAGCGTAAGGTTCGTGTGATTTGTTAGTAGGTTGATTTTTAAATCTGAAAACCAAGCATGTTATATGATTACATGCGCAGGATTCACTGCAGACCTACGTGTGATTGGGCCGAGAATGTCATTGTTGTTGACATTTCATGATCACTTTCAAAAGGAAAGCTCTCGTTTACCTTCACTTCGGGGATCTCTCTCTCTCTCTCCCCCCCTCCCTTTTTTCTTTCTCCATCCTCTCTCTCTAGAACTCTGATTCAGTCTCTCGTTAAGTGTTGGACTGGCGGCTTGTATTTCCCATCTCTTTGCCTTTTTAAAAATATAGATATATTAGGGGGATTTCTCCAACTTTATAGTTAGCTTTATTTACTTAAATGTTTTAGTTTGTTACATTTAATATTAAGAATTCTTGTTCTCATATTGCTTCTTTTGTAGCATGTTTTAATTTGTGCTTAAAAGATTTTTAATATCTTCCAGAGGATATAACTCTTATGCCTTTACAAAAATAAAATAAATACTTCTGTTCATTTTCTTGGGTCATTTTCTCTATTTGTCTTGATTCTTTTCTCTCTCTTTTTAAAATCCCCGCTAAGGATATGCTTTTATTGAATTTAGAGAGAGAGGAGGGGAAAGAGAGAGAACATCAATGAAAAACATCGATAGGTTGCCACGCCAGGGCCAGGGAGGAAACCCGCAGCCTCGGTATGTGCCCTGATGGGGAATCGAACCCGAAACCTGTTGGTGTACAGGACAATAGTCTCACCAACTGAGCCACCCGGCCAGGGTGATGCTTCTCTTTCTGATGTTGGTTTTTCTTAAATGCCTGACTGACCCTTCATATTTATGAATGAAGCACCAGCCTCCTTAAAGTAAGCTTTCGGAGTGTTGGGACTGCACTGATAGGCCGCAGAGGGACCTGGAAAAGGGCGGACTGTGTTGCCTATGCTTAGGCAGAGCCTTGAGGCAGTATGGACATTTATATTGTGAAGTAGCCAAAGAAACACATTCTGTAATAATTTATAGGTAATTTTACACTAGTGAATAATTTTTAAAAATCTGTATGTCTGTTACCATTTATTCTGGTCGATAGACAGTAAATTCTTGCGTATTCAGGACTGATTGCCATTGACTAGAATGGCCTAATGAAAAGCAGCTTGCTAGAGCTTGCCAAATGATTATTTTAAACTTGGAAAATTCCAACTTTATACTTTTCTTTTTAGAGAAGAACCAAAGATGAAACATGGACAGCAGATGACCTCCGAAAACACCTTTGGGTAAATGTATTTCAAAGATTTGAGCTGGGGTCTGATTGGACAGTTTCTCCTGGTTCTCAGCCCTACACAACTTTGCTCCCACGTGGCTCATTTCAGGGGTGTTCTCGACTCATGTGGTTAGTAGCTCTGGGTCTGTGGTGGGAAAGGGTTTCCTAGCCCAGCCTGCATGTCACCAACTCTGGCTTCTTTCATGGTTCAGAGCCCAGGCTGTGTGTGTATCTGTGTGGTGTGTGCATTGTGCGTGTCTGTGTGTGCATGTCTGTGTGTGTGTATGTGTACATACGTGGAGAGAGGCTTGGGGATTGAGAGAGATCCCCTGAGAGTTTTATAAGGAAGGTCCTTGTTCTTGAATAGGACCTGGATGGGCCTAGTCTCAGAGACTGTGACACAGCTTCAGTACCTTGTTCTCTATATATTTTTTTTCTTTATGAAAATCTAAACTGAAAGAAGCTGTGAGTTCTCAAGGCTCACCCTAGAGCTTCCACAAGGCATTCCTGTGTGCCATTGAGTCATTGATTTGCATATTTATTCTGCTATTTCTTTTTTTTTTTCCCTTCAGTATCCTGTTTCTTTCTTTCTAATCTGGGTAGTGTTTTAGATTTGACTTGCCCCCTTCAGTATCCTGTTTCTTTCTAATCTGGGTAGTGTTTTAGATTTGACTTGCCAACACATGGGAATATGTCTCCCAAGTGGGCGCTGGTCTGCAGTCATAGAAATGCTAAGTGTGACACCTCTGTGGCTGTGGAGGCTTCTCCTGCCCTGCTGCTGGCGGGAGAGCAGGACACAGTGGCAGCTGGTGGTTTTGAGGCCGTCACGCTCAGAAACCCCTTCCTTTTTCTTGCTTTGGCTGCACAGTCGACACTTCCTAGAGAAGATAAGAAACACAAGGAAAAGAAGCTACATAAGGACTTGGAAACGGATGCCCCAGAGTCCAAGGAGCAGAAGCCCAGGGACCCAGACCGGGATGCCAAGCACAGGGAGAGGGTGGCAGACAGAGACCGCCATGGCTCCAGGGAGTATCCTCGTGGGGACAGAGACAAGGAGAAGCCACGGGAGAGGAGAAGGGACGCCCGGGACCTGGACAGAGAGAAGCTGAGGGACAAGGCCCGAGAGCATGACACAGAGAAGCACCAGAGCCGAGGCAAAGACCGGGAGAGGGACCGGGAGCGTGAGGGAGAGCACCGGGTGCGGAGGGAAGAGCCCAAGCCTGTGGCCAGGCACCACTGGCCTGAGCACAGGATGCGGTCAGGTGCGTGTCTGGGCTGTGGCCGTCCCAGGGCCAGGCATGTGGGCGAGCCCCTCTGCAGTGCTCACTCCCCACGTCGGCCTCGCCCTGGCTTTGCGTTTGGTTGTGCCCCTGCTGAACTGTGTGCTTTGCAAGATGGTTGCCTTTTGGGTATTTTAGAACTCATTTCAATGAATGAAAGGAGTAACGATTTTCTCATGTGCTAGAGTTTTACTATTGAAACATTCCCGATTAATTATCTTCGTAAATCTCAATCCACATTGTAGAGAAACAAACATTATGCTCTTTGGTAAAAGAATTTCTCAGAAGTATCAGTTTTATTTTAAGCAATATTTAACAGTTTGTCCGAATGTTTAATTTGGTCCTTATCTTTGAAAATGTTGATTCTCTTCATTTTAAGCCTAATGACTTTTTTTCTTGGCAGATTCAAAAGTGAAAGTCTAGTTTTTCACTATTGGAGGGAGCTGTGTGTATTGTCACTGGGTGTGTGTGGCTCTGCTGGTCCCTTTGGCCTCTCACAGGTGGGGTGGGGGGCAGTGACCGGCTGTAGGTGGCGTTTTTCTGGACGCTGTGCTGCCCCAGCACCTCTGTTGGCGACGCAGGGCCCAAAGGTGCGTGCGTTGGGCTGGTGCCTCTGAGTTCCAGCAGCTAGGCTGCATCTGCCAGGTTGCCTCCTTAGCAGGTGCCACTGTCATCTCCTTTATTCCATTTTTGTATGTGATTTTTTAATTTTTAATTTATCTTTATTGTTGAAAGTATTACAGATGTCCCCTTTCTTCCCCATTGACCGCTTGTAGCCCACCCCCACCCCTCACTCCAGGCCTTCCCCGCACTATTGTCTGTGTCCAGGGCTTATGCACATGTGCAGACAAGGTCTTTGGTTAATCTCTTCCCAGCCACCCACCTACCCCTGTTGTCTCTCTGAGATTCATTTTTAGTTTAGATTCCAGGACTTTCCATTCTTGAGATTGTAGAATGTGGTCTAATAGAAGAATATGTTTTCATGTGTTAATACATAATTTTGTAATGCAGTATTTACAAAGACTTCAGCAAGATGTCTGAAGTTTGGGAATGTTAAAAGTATGTTTTCTTGCCCTCGCCAGTTTGGCTCAGTGGATAGAGCGTCGGCCTGTGGATTGAAGGGTTCTGGGTTTGATTCCAGTCAAGGGCATGTACCTCGGTTGCAGGCTCAATCCCTGGCCCTGGTTGGGACGCATGTGGGAGGCAACCAATCGACATTGATGTTTCTCTCTCTGTCTCTCCCTCTCGATTCCACTCTCTCTAAAAAAATCAATGGAAAAATGTCCTCTGGTGAAGATTAACAACAAAAAACAAACAATAAAAGTATGTTTTCTTTTTATAGTAAGTAAAGTAAGAACTGACGAGAATGAGAGGAGGGATGAGAACTCTGAAAGAGGAGATGAAGAGAGAGAAAGAAGATACCGAGAAAGGAAGGTATGCATACCAGGCCCCAAACACTGCAAATCGATGACATGTTAGTGTTATAGGCATTGGGGAAATTTTGTAACATAGACTTTGAGGCTTGGGAAGACACCCAGGGGGTAAGTTCTGCATTAAGTCATAATTATGTCCTTATGATCATTTCTGGAAGCGAACTTGCTGGATCGGGGTAAATGTAGACGCCCCCATTTGCCTTATATAAAGGCTTTAGTTACTTATGTCCTCAGGGTCCTGTCCCTGTGTCCTCAGCAGATGTGTCCCAGGCGGTGTCCTGACTCAGGAGGACAGGCGCGTGGCATTTGTACTCCTGTGGCAGGTGTGTCCTGCAAGCTGATGTCTGATACCTGTGGCAAACCCACCTGCTGCATTTGTTGCCTTTCTAGTGGAGTCCTTTTTTTTAAAAAAAAAAAAATGCTTTATTTTTGAAAGTATTACATATGTCCTCTTTTCCCCCCATAGACCCCCTCCAACCCACCCCAGGCCCTCACCGCCCCATTGTCTGTGTCCATGGGCCATGCATATCTGCATACAATGTCCTTGGTTGATTATCTCCCACCCACCCACACTCCACTGCCTTCCCTCTGAGATTCTGCACTCTGTTCCATGCTTCCATGTCTCTGGATACACTCCGTTCATCAGTTTATTTTGTTACTTAGATTCCACATAAGAGTGAGATCATGTGACACTTGTCTTTCTCTCACTGGCTTATTTCACTTAGCATGATACTCTCCAGGTCCCTCCATGCTGTCTCACAGGGTAAGAGATTCTTCTATTTTACTGCTGCATAGTATTCCATGTGTAAATGTACCACAGCTTTTTGTCCACTCATCTCCTGATGGGCACTTGGGCTGTTTCCAGATCTTAGCTATTGTAAATTATGCTGCTACTAGAGGCCCGGTGCACAAAATTTGTGCATGGGGTGGGGGTCCCTCAGCCTGGCCTGCACCCTCTCCAATCCGGGCACCCTAGGGGGATGTCTGACTGCTGGTTTAGACCACTGGCTCCTAACCACTCACCTGCCCGCCTGCTTACCTGATCACCCCCTAACCCCTCTGCCTGCCTGCCTAATCGCCCCTAACCGCCCTCCCCTGCCGGCCCAATCACCCCTAACCACCCTCTCCTGTGGCCCGATCACCCCTAACCGCCCTCCCCTGCTGGCCTGATCGCCCCTAACTGCTCCCCTGCTGGCCTGATCGCCTCTGACCGCCTCTGCCTTGGCCCCCGCCACCATGGCTTTGTCCGGAAGGAGGACTGACAACCAGAAGATGTCTGGTCAACCCGGTCTAATTAGTATGTTACCCTTTCATTAGTATAGATGAACATAGGGGTGCATATATTCTTTCTGATTGGTGTTTCGGGTTTCTTATGATATATTCCTGGAAGTGGAATCACTGGGTCAAATGGAAGTTCCATCTTTAATTTTTTGAGGAAACTCCATACTGTTTTCCATAATGGCTTCAGCAGTCTGCATTCCCACCAGCAGTGTACTAGGGTTCCCTTCTCACCACATCCTCGCCAGCACTTGTCGTTTGTTGATTTGTTGATGGTAGCCATTCTGACAGGTGTGAGGTGATATCTCATTGTGGTTTTAATTTGCATCTCTCTGATGATCAGTGACTTTGAGCATTTTTCATATGTCTCTTGGCCTTCTGTATGTCCTCTTTGGAGAAGTGTCTATTAGGTCCTTTGCCCATTTTTTCATTGGGTTGTTTGTCTTCCTTCTGTTAAATTGTATGACTTTCTTATATATTTTTTATATTAACCCTTTATCAGATGTATCATTGCCAAATATGTTCTCCCATGCAGTAGGCTCCCTTTTTGTTTTGTTGGTGGTTTCTTTTGCTGTTCAGAAGCTTTATATTTTGATGTAGTCCCATTTGTTTATTTTCTCCTTAGTTTCCTTTGCCCTAGGAGCTGTACCGTAAACATATTGCTACGAGAGATGTCTGAGATTTTGTTGCCTATTATTTCTTCTAGGGTTTTTATGGCTTCATGACTTACATTTAAGTCTTTTATTAATTTTGAGCTTATTCTTATGTATGGTGTAAGATGGTGTCTAGTTTCATTTTTTTTGCCAGTATCTGCCCAATTTTCCCAACACCATTTATTGAAGAGACTGCCTTGACTCCATTGTATGCTCTTGCCTCCTTAGTCAAATATTAATTGAGCATATTGGCTTGGGTCAATTTCTGGGGTCTCTCTTCTATTCCATCCTATATAATAAAAGTATAGTATGCAAATTGTCCCCCTGACCAGAAGTTTTTCTGGGAGTTTGATGACCAGGGGACGGGGCCTGCCGGGGGAAGAGAGGTTGTACCCGATGGTAGCTGGCAGCTGCTAGGGACCCAACCAGTGTACAAATTTCATGCACTGGGCCTCTATTTGATCTATATGCCTGTTCTTGTGCCAGTACCAGGCTGTTATGATTAAGGTGGCTTTGTAGTTTAACTTGAAATCTGGTATTGTGATTCCTCCAACTTTGTTCTTCTTTCTCAAGATTGCTACAGCTATTTGGGATCTGTTTTGGCTCCATATAAATTTTTGGAGTATTTGTTCTAAATCTGTGAAATATGCTGTTGGTATTTTAATGGGGATGGCATTAAATCTGTGGATTGCCTTGGGTAGTATGGACATTTTAATGATGTTGATTCTACCAATCCATGAACACAGTATATTCTTCCACTTGTTTATATCTTTTTCTTTCTCTTTTTTCAACCTCTTACAGTTTTCTGAATACAGATCTTTTGCCTCTTTGGTTAAGTTTATTCCTACGTATTTAATTTTTTTTGTTGCAATGGTAAATGGGGCTGCTTGTTTACTTTCTATTTCTGAGAATTCATAGCTCCTATCTATAAAAGGCTAATATGCAAAGTGTCCCCTCAGGAGTTTGACTGGGAGACCGGGAATTCGATCACTCGCTTGATGTATGCTGACCACGGGTGGGGCGTGGAACGAAGGAAAGCCCCAGCTGGCAGCTGGAAGGCCCCAATTGGCCCTGATCGCCTGCCAGGCCTAGGGATCCTATCTGTGCACAAATTTCATGCACCGGGCCTCTAGTTGGTGTATAAAAATGCCATCGATTTATGGGTGTTGATTTTGTATCCTGCTACAGTGTTGATTTATCCTGCTACATTGCCAAATTCATGTATTAAATTTAGTAGTTTTTTGGTGGAGTCTTTAAGGTTTTCTATGTATAATATCATCACATCTGTGAATAATGACAGTTTCACTTTCTCCTTTCCCATTTGGATGCCTTTTATTTCTTATCTCATCACTGTGGCTAGGACTTCCATACTATGTTGAATAAGAGTGGACATCCCTGTCTTGTTCCTGTTCTTAGGGGAAATGGTTTTAGTTTTTGCCCACTGAGTATGATGTTGGCTGTAGTATTATCATATATGGCCTTTATCATGTTGAGATATGCTCCCTCTATTCCGACTTGCTGAGAGTTTTTATAAAAAATGGGTGTTGGATTTTGTCAGATGCTTTTTCTGCATCTATTAATGTGATCATGTGATTTTTGCCTTTCAATTTCTTTACGTGAGGTATCCTGTTTATTGATTTGTGACTGTTGTACCAGCCTTGCATCCCTGGATTAAATCCCACTTGGTCATGGTCTTTTTAATGTATGGCTGAATCCGATTTGCTAATATTTTTTTTAAAATATTTTATTGATTTTTTACAGAGAGGAAGGGAGAGAGATAGAGAGTTAGAAACATCAATGAGAGAGAAACATCGATCAGCCGCCTCCTGCACATCTCCTACTGGGGATGTGCCCGCAACC